CATGGCGAAAATCTATGCTTCGTTGATTGGTCGGAAAAAGTGTATACTCTATATATTTATTAGCGTATTTTTATATGTTTAATTTTATCGCACTTATATATATTTTGACTTATTTATTTATTAGATGGATTCATGTGCTATGATATTTTTATGATTTAATTTCAGGATATTAGTATATTTTCTTAGATGACATATTATTAGAAATCTCAGCCGTGAAAAATTAAAGGTGCTCCATACTAGATCGGTTCAATCCAAATTGAAGCTCGAAATTGTTAATTTGAAGAAAATTCATGGCCCACTATCTTTGGGCTGCCAATTAGTTAGGATTTTGGAAAGAATTAAAAGAGACGTGTGCACTGCGGGAATTAATTGGACAACATAGGAGAATATTAACCATGCATGCCCTAAAGGAAAGAAATTAATTCACGCACAGCAACACAAAAAGGGCACGCAACCGCTGGAAACAGAGAACACAAAGGAGAATTTGATACCAAAGTTGATTAGACGAGTCAGTCGAGGGTGTAGACGGAACCGTGAACTAGAAAATTCTCTTATTTATTTTATTTTATTTTTATTTTCATTGTTTTGATTTCATTCTTAGATAGATTAGTTATTAATTCAAAATCCCCCTTTTTATTGCTTTCATAATAAATTCAATTAATACAAGAAAATTCACAATTTGATTCACACTCAATGTGGGTTCGACCCTTGCTTACCACTACTACTAGTTAGTACAGGTTAGTTGAGGAAAAATATAAATTTAATTTTGCCGCGTTGCGACGCGCGGTCAAATTTTGGCGCTGTTGCCGGGCAGTGGCGTTATTGAATTGTGATTTTTAAGTACTAATTGAATTATTTTATTTTATTTTATTTTATTAGGATTTTATTTTTATCATCTTTTACCACCCTCTATTTTTCTTTGTTTTTTTTTCTTGCAGAATACTGGGTGGCCCAGTACTCTGCTGGAAAGAATAGTTGGCCCCCATACTCGTGAGATAACTTGTCTTAGGGCGATTTTGTCAAGCTTGACGCAAATTTTTCGAGATGGCAGCCTATTATCACGATTTTTATACCCACCAGGCACCTTACCAGTATGAGAGGGAGGTACGACGCCCGTGGATTGGAGATCGAGGCGTAAGAGGACCTAGTTGTTGGCGAATGAATGAGCAAGACTACTTCTATATCGATGAGTATGGATACCGCTTGAGAGAGAACTCGAACTCGTTCTATGGGTACTCCGAGCCACCAATTGCGCGAGATCCCAGCCCGTTGCTCGAGGATATGTTGAATGCATTTGCGGCTAACACGTTGAGATTTCAACAAGAGTTCTGCGAGCCCATTGTTGAGAGAGATCCTGGTCCGTCGCTCGAGGAGATGATGAAGGAGTTGGAGACTCACACCATTAACTTTCAGCAAGGTGTTGAAGCGAGCATCAAGAACCAAGGACTGCGCATAAAGAATTTACAAGGCCAAATGAGCCAATTGGTAGAACAAATGGACCGACTAGCGTGTCGGTTGGAAACGATTCCAATGAGCTCGAGCGTCACGTATTTGTGCAGCGAGGACCTCGAGGAATCTGAAGAGTGCACATATGAGTTGGAGAACGGAAAAATCACGAATATAGAAAAAATGGAGTCGAAACAGCCCAGTACGGGGGTGCCCAATACTCGGCCTGTTGCACCCCATACTCGACCTACTGGAGCCAAAAAGCGTACCGTTCTCCCCGCTCTTGTGCCGATAGAAGCTGAACCGAGTCTTGTTCCACCCATGATGAAGTGGATACTGAGCAAGGATGCACTGAAGCATGTTTTGAGCCTTAATATCCAGCCTCTTGAGATGATCGAGCAGAACGAGAGGTGCAAATGGGAGTTTGATGAGATGGTGACCATGAGTGAGCGTGGGTTGCTATACATTTTTGAGGGACCAGCTCCATGGAGAAAAGATCCGGTGAAGCATCCAACATCGGAGAGTGGGGATGTTGTCAAACATGGTTCCGTGAGGTTTGTGGCTCCCTTGAGGCCACCTCGAAAGCCACCATGGATCCTTTGATGAAAAAGGAGCAATAAGTCGGGCCAACGACAATAAAAAGAGGCGCTTATTGGGAGGCAACCCAATGGTGTGCATGGTTCGACGACCTTCTTCGCATTGACTAAGGTGAACTCGTTTTTTTTACCTCCATTTTTGTGCTTTTGGGTTTATTTGAGTGTCAATGATATATGCAAACTCCAAGTTTGGGGAGGTGGTTTCTTGGAGCATTCATGATTTATTATGTGATTATATTTATGCCCCTTAGTGTTTGAGTTTTTAGATGATATTTGGTTTGTTGTGTGTGAGCGTGAGATTTCATATACGTGAAATTTTGCGATGATGACATGAGAGTCGGTTTGGATCTATTGTGCTAGTTCAAATGGCTTGAGTTGATTTTATTCGGTTAAATTTTTAAGGTGTTTTTATTTTGGGGACAAAGACATGATGGTTGATATTTTCGTGACTTATTGTGGTGAGTTGGTTTTGAGGCGATTTGTATTGTTGAGATGTGCTTGTGATTGCTTTAATCAATGTTGATTAAGTTTGGGGACTTGAAGTTGAGAGTTGAGGTTTCTATGTCTCATAGTCGAAAAAAAAAGAATAATGAGGATGGAGGAATGATTGGTGGAGTTGAAAAGCCGTTTGACACCAAAAAAAAGAAAAAAAAAAAAGAAAAAAATGAGTCATGGGCTGCAACAGCTGCCAATCCGTGGGGGCTCTAGTGTACAAATCCAATAATTCTTGTATCGAGACAATCACGAAAGGCTAAAACCCGCGGGTTGTGACGGAGCTGCCGTTCCCTACCCAGAAAAAAAAAAAAAGAGAGAATAAAAAAAAAGAGTGTGGAGAATGAGATGTTTAGACTTCGGCTAGAAACGGAAAGAAACTAGACTTGTTAGCAAAGAGAGGAGTGTCATGAGCTGCATTGATCGGTGCATTCGTTATAGAGATTGACAAACTATGGTGGTCACTTGGATTGATACTTGATGTGTTTGAGTTCCTAGAATAATTTTATCTTGAGTCTGAATAAATTATTTTGAGCTATTTGAGCAATGCACTTATGTGAGAATTGTGAGGCCCTGAGTAAAGTTCTACATACTTGTTTTCTTGTCCATCTAAGTGCTTATAGTTCTAAGTTGCTTGGGGACAAGCAACGGGTTAAGTTTGGGGAGATTTGATTGGTCGGAAAAAGTGTATACTCTATATATTTATTAGTGTATTTTTATATGCTTAATTTATCGCACATATATATATTTCGACTTATTTATTTATTAGATGGATTCATGTGCTATGATATTTTTATGATTTAATTTCAGGATATTAGTATATTTTCTTGGATGACATATTATACGAAATCTCAGCCGTGAAAAATTAAAGGTGCTCCATACTAGATCGGTTCAATCCAAATTGAAGCTCGAAATTGTTAATTTGAAGAAAATTCATGGCACACTATCTTTGGGCTGCCAGTTAGTTAAGATTTTGGAAAGAATTAAAAGAGACGTGTGCACTACGGGAATTAATTAGACAACATAGGAGAATATTAACCATGCATGCCCTGAAGGAAAGAAATTAATTCACGCACAGCAGCACAAAAAGGGCACGCAGCCGCTGGAAACAGAGAACACAAAGGAGAACAAACAGACGCACGGACAGATAGATACGAGGTAACCCGATCAATCGCGAAGGGAGACCGCACCCGCACACGAGGGAGATAATTAATCTCTCTCTTTTATCTTTTTATTTTTATTTATTATGTTAGACTAGTTTTTATTTCTAGTTCCGGGGATGTCGAACCCTACTATTGACGATGTTTGATTGATTTACGTGGTTGATGATTTTAATATCTTTTTGGAATTGTTTGTGTTATTTTGAATAATTAACCATGATGTGTTGAGTCTTATTTAGATTGATCACCTAGATTAGGTTTTACATATCTACACCTAAATTAGGCCTTCAATCCGTAATTGTTGATGTGTTTAATTCGCAAGTGGTATCCGGAAGATGGTAACTACCGAGGATAACACGGCCTATTTAAGTGAACGAACGCGGTTGAGTTCACTACTTAGTCTAGTCTATTTTTCTAAT